CAGTGATCACCAGACTAAAACTATGCACGAAGTGTTGTTCTGTGCTAAGATGTCTCTTGTATATTGGTGTTGTGAGAGTATATGTCTTTAGTTGTGTATGTTGTCTCTTTCCTTGAGTATATTGCCTAAAAAAGAAATTTCTAAGGATCTGAGGGATTTGCGAAAAGAGTTTTTTTTTAGAGTTTTTTATTTATTGTTACTCTCTATTATTTTATATATATATATATAAATATATATATTTTTATAGTGTAGCAGGCCTACTTTATTATTTTAGTATGGTACATATTACTTGAATTAATAAGCTATTTACTAACTTGTTTTCTTTATGTATTTTCCTACACTAACCTATTAAAAAGCTAATTGATTTTGATAATCTCTTATGACTTGTTGCTTCCTACTGGGAACTAATGTGCCTAGGTTCCATTATCACTGATTTGGAAGATGTCTAAGATGTTATGTATTCCTTTCAGGATATTACCTATTGTTTTCTGTGTGCCAGCTTGTTTAAACTTGTTCATTATCGTTCTTTCAATTTTGTGTGGTCTCTGTTACATTTTCTTTCTTTTTCATTTGATAGATGTTTTGTTAATTCCCTGTTTCTTTTTCCATTGTGACATTCTTTTGCATTTGTTGAGCCAGATATTGAAAGTGAGAAATCAGATGTATTGTATGATACTTTTGAGGATGTCTAGCAGCTTTTTGTGTCCTATTGTTTCTATAATGAGATTATTTAGAGCCTTGCTGATACCTCCTCTGAAGATGAGTGTGTTAAGGTTTTTAGTGTTAAGATCGACTTTGTTATATGTTATTTGGGAGGACTTGTCATTTTTCCTGTAGTGAAGTTCCCTATATATGTTTCTGTTGATTTCCTCGTAACTGTTGATATTGTGTTGGATGCAGGTAAAGGGGTGATCATTATGTTCTGTCTCTCTGCAGCTGTGACACTAGTTTGTTTTGTAAATGTTGGGGTGTCTTTTATGGAGTTTGTCCATAGTCGGAAGTTCTTGTTTCCATAGTTTGATAGAGAAGCTACGCTGTTGGAAGTCCCACTTGTCTGTTTGTGGATCATTGAGTTTGGTTGGGTGGAAGAGTGCAAAGCTGTTTTTCTAATCTATTTTATTGTGGTTGGCTCTAGAAATAGCTTGTTTATATTCTAAAAACTAATATGTATTGTATCAACCAATCACCTTTGGTGAGGATTTGTGTTATCAAAAATGTAGGATCAAAGTGAGATAGATAAAATTTCCTAGAAAACCATGAAAACAATATTTTAAGAGACCCACAAGTGGCTGAAAGGGAAAAATAAGCCCTTCTATCATCAAAAATCTCCATATACCTCTCACTTTAAAGGTTAAATAGGTCTTCAGATACTTCATAGTCAGTTCTTCTTCCTTTGGATACTTTTTTGCCATTGGTATCAAATGTGTTACTTGATTTTTCTTGATCACTAAAAGTCAAATTTTTGAGTGAAGAGATTTATAAACAATAGGAGAAGGCTAGAAGTGACTCTTGAAGTCATACTTCAAGTTGTTTTAAGGAAAGTATTAAGACTTTATTAGCAAAAAAGTATAAAAACTTCTTATGAACATCTTTTTTGTATGTGATCAGAGGATTAGTGGAAAGAGTTTTTTTATTTTTTATTTTTTTTTTATAGTTTCTAGTATCTAAGGATTTACTTTATATATAATTGTTCTCTTTGATAATTATTAAATTTATGATTGTGATAAGATTACCTATTTATTATTTTATGATCTATATATTTTTATTGATACAGATAACTGAAGTTTTTCATATTTTTTATAAATAAAAATGAGTTTTTAATAAAAAACCAGAAACAAAAATTAAATATTTCTTATTAAAAAAAATATTAAAATTTTTAAATTAATAATTATAAAAAAACTATTTAAAATAGTTATCTTATTAATTTTGTTTCTCAAAAAGAAATATAAATAAGTTATGAAATTTTATATTATAAATACTTTAAGGACTTATCATTATCTATAAGAATGTTTTTTGAAAAAAGATTAATGTCTTACATTTTTATTAGAAGTTTGAACCAATCAAAGTTTTTTGATTTTTTTTAGTGTCTTCACATATTTCAATTGATAGAAATACTAGATTTTCCTTAGTGCTAAAACTAACCAAGGCTGTATAACCTAATTTATTAGATTATAATTGGATAATACTATTTTTAAATTGATTGTATTCAAAGTATACATGTGATTGATAAGCATACAACTTTGGACAATATAATCTAAATTGCAAGTATCATTCTTTGAGTAGGATTGAAGTCATATTTTGTGAACAGTGATCTGAAAGTATATTTATTGCACTATAAATCTATACTATAGGTCATTATATAATTATTTAATTTCTTGATTTTCTTAAAATACTATTGTATATTTTTGATTTTGGTTTTAGTTTAAAAAACAGGTGTAGGCCTGAATTATCAATAAATTTTTATTTATTTACTATATACCTATACAAATTATATTAAAGCAAAATAATAAAAAATTTTATAAATTATTTTATTTATTATTCATGAAAAATTGTAATTTTAATTTTTAAAAAAAATTTTTTTTTTTTTTTTTTGAAAAACGAATTATAGTTGCTGTACATCTTCATATGAATAAAAATTTTTAAAATTCAAATTTTAAAAATTTTCAATTTAAAAAATAATGATAAAAGTGGTCCAATATTTGAGAATTCAAATACAATTAATTTTTTGTATTAAAGCAGATAATCATTTATTTTTTGCTTATATTTCATAAAAAATTTTTAAGATTAAATTATTTTTAGATATTCATGTATTTCTTTAAACTATTATAATAAATTGCATGTAAATAATCTAAGCATACGAATTGAAATAGGGTTCCCTCGTTTCATATACGGGTTTTAATGTGCATGATAGAACAAATTTATCTTGTACCTGCTGCCATCCTAATCGTGTCGAAAATAAGATCATTTGTACTAAAGAATAAATTTCGATTCACCTGAAAAGTCAAAACGTTATTTTAAAACAGGGGCCAAAGTTCAATAACTTCGCAATTGTTTATAAAGATACACGCGTGACGCGCGATAGATTCAAAGCGGATAAACTCATTTCTTAGACTGAAATTTGGAAAATAATCCCACCCTTTTTTTTTTGATTCTAAAGAAATTTTTTATCTGCTAATAAACGTAAAGATACAGAGTATAATGATTACTTTTGCTGTCAAAGAAAAAGGATGCCTTCGCGCAAGAAAATACATGTAACATTAATTGCAAAAGAAATCCCGAATATTTCCGAAACCATAGTCTGTCTATCCTTTCCTTTGACTCAAAACCGCCTAAAAGTTTTAAACAAGAAGCATAAAGACAACTGCCACACAGGAGACACCAGCAAGTGCCCCAAAACCATAGGAATTCAAGATAGAAGCATCGGAAGTTGTTGTGGGGGATGTGCCTACTGTCGTCGTAGTTGCTGTTACAACTGGTGAGGTCACAGTCGAGGTAACGACCACTGTGGTGGTTGGTGAGGACGTTTTAGTAAATGTGACAGTTGGGGAGGTGGTAAGAGAGCTTGTAATTGTTGTTGCTTCAAGGGTTACATTGTGGGAAAAATAAAAATAAAAATAATAACAATAAACATTAGTCTTTAGAACTCGTGGTGTTTTGTAATTACGTTACAAGGAAAACTCATTAAATTTAGGCATCATTTCGCGTTCCAAAGAAGGAATCGTAAAAAAAGAGACGCAACTTTACCTTGTCCTTCTACCCTGACGGCAACAAGCAATAAGACAAGAGAAAGGAGGCAAATAAGAATCTTTCCGAAATTGGCGTTCATATTTATGTATTGAAGCTTGGTGAAGGAAAAGTAATTTGCGGGCGGAAGAAAAAATGAAAAAAAAAAAAAAAATGGATTTTCTATCGTGATTCTCTGACAATTTCCTCCCTCCATTTATATTCTAATTAATGTGCTCAAATATAATTTACTTCAGTCACTCGAGGTTAACTACGCACATTGATAAATTATTCCATCATTGAAACCATTCATATGCGATGAGATCATTTTTACTTCATTTAAAAAAGAAGTTTCAGGATACATAGTCTTCTCATAATATGACGAATTGATATCAAGATTCACTATCATCAAACTTGCGGTTTATCATTTGAAACATCATAATGTATACATGACGAAATTAAAGAGACGGTTTCTTATGCGCATGCTAAATGAGCAACAACGTCGTCACAATCCACCGAAGCAGAATTATGTTTACTTTACGTATATTCTGTCGCCTAATTTCAAATATAACGATGCGGTGGCTTACTGCCTCCTTCTTTTCACATTTCGGTAGTAATAATCTAGACCCTCTATTTTTTATTTTATTTATCTATTGATATCTTAATTCTGGACTTTAAATATCCCCTGTGAACAATCTCGATTCCAATTAATTGACTTGGGTCTACATAGTTTTACGCTCACTTTACGCGATTTGTGGATTTCCGATTCGTATCTACGTGCGTACGTATTTTGATAGGACAATATTGCAGGAAGAACATTACTGTATTATACGTAACAACATTCTTTAATTTTCAATGATCATTTGATTAATTGATCGATCGATCTATATACAGTACGTACAGTACATACTGGTTTTACCTACGTATCTGAGAAACCTACCTTGAATTCGCGATTAATAATCAAGATCGGTGGACGATGAGTAAGCGCGTAAGTCTTTAGTGTCTCTGGCGTACCGTATATGTACAGTATTTTAAAACTGTAAATCCGTAAGCCCACGTATTTATTAATGAATGAAAAACAAAAAAAAAAAAAAAAAAAAAGAAAAGGACACCCACAGTTGCGGACATGTTTTGTGGTGCGGGTGGATTGTCGGAAGGTGCCCGGCAGGCCGGATTCTTGGTGAAGTGGGGTGTGGATAATAATACTTCCTCGATCGAGACTTTTTCGTACAACCATCACCAGGCGATTACCTACAATATGGACATTGGATATTTCATGGATAACTACATCAGAAACGTCCAAAAGGTCGACGTACTATTGGCTGCACCTCCATGTCAGGGGTTTACCGGGGCAAATACGCGTGGCAACATAATCGACATGACAACAAATATGGTGTTGGCAATGAACGTTCCTCAAGCAGTGAACATTTTGAGGCCAAAGGTTTTGGTGTTTGAAAATGTCAAAGGATTTTGTAATCAAAGGAAGAGTAATGCAATGTACAGATTATTTACTAATGATTTGATGGATGCCGGGTGAGTGGATTTTATTTTATTACTTTGCAAAGACTTCGACTTCCAAATGATATTGAATTTCCACTATCCATTTCAACTTTCAATGATGAAGATATAAATTCAAAACTACGGTTTTGAAAGCCTCAGATTATGGTATATGTCAACGCCGAGAGAGGTTTTTATTACTGGCCGTACCGCAAGAGTCCAATTTTCCTGATTGGCCTGAGCCCACCCACTTTATCGACGGCGAAATCTCCACGCAGGCCCGGACAAATTATATCGCAAAGGGTCTCATTCCAACACCCACAGTGGACGTGGCGTTTCGAGGTGAATCATGATCAATGCAATTAATCATGTACAGATTACTTCTTAAGAAAGAAAGCAAATTCATCGACTTTTCCTGACCTAGGATTAACAACAGCAGCACCGAACATGGATTATCTAAAAACGGTTCCATACCACTTGAGACGTCTAAAAGCTAACCAGATCCCATCGACTGTACTTTGCACAATTAATCCGGGCTGGGACAACATTCATCCTACGGAATTTCGTCATATTTCGCCGCGAGAATCTGCAAGACTACAGAGTTTTCCCGACTCATATGTGTTTAAAGGGAACCTCAATTCACAGTATAGGCAAGGTAAAGTTTGTTTCGTTTAATCAATGGAATGAATGCGTTGGTTAAACTTCAGCGATCATGCTTTACCTTTCACAATAGTTGGAAATTCCGTACCACCGTTGTTGGCACAGGCGATCATGAAAGAAGTTAGACGCGTGATTTAGATCTTTGAATCGTGCGTTAATTTAATCAATATAAAAAAATGTCATTCATCGTCACTTCACTTCTTTTTTCATCAGTTGAGCCCATACTAATGTGTACATTAATCATACAACATGCGTGTTCTCCGTGATGATATTACTACGATAGAACAGAAGAAACTTTGACGTTGAATTGATATACAGTACATTCTATCGACAATTAAAAGAAGTGTCATTTTAGTGCCAAAATGTTTTTTTTTTTTTTTTTATTCACTCAAAAGCAACGGGCGCACCAGAAGATCCTGTGGGAACAAAAGCCAAGACTTTGTAGATTTCACCCATTGACAAAGGATCAATGAGTCTTTTAAATGACGAGATCAATGTCTCATGCCTATCAGGTGAGGAACTCTTAAGCAACATCATTAATCTAGTTTTTAAGCCAAGAGTTTGTAGAAATTTTGATTGCGTGATTGGTCCGTACGCGTCAACTATTGTGTGGAATGAATGGTGGTAGTTGATTATTTGCCGAACAAAGTTACCGTTCATAAATAAAAGTTACCTAGCCCTTCTGTGGCTTCTTTAAGATACTTAAAGTTTACATCCGCGCTCAAGTCTGAAAGACCGGGCGTACACAGCGGATGGATGAACTTATGTCTCTTGATTGCCTAACGCAAAATGAAGAACCATAACAACATTTCATCATCATTATTAAAAAGTATAATTGAAGGACTAAGATGTCATAAAAAGGCTTACTCGCAGAGTATCCCCTTGGATAAAGTCTTTGCCATAATCAATGATAAGCGACGCACCTCTGTTACGATTAATAAATTTCGCGATTCGATTCGAAGTTTTCCATGATTCGGGGGATATCTCGATCCGGTCACCAATTCTAAATTTCTCGAGCGCTGGAAAATTTCGGAAAACCGCTGGAAGCGTTGGCCACGGGTTAAGTTTGAAACAAAAATGATAAGGACTGATTGAAAGAAAAAAAAAAAAAAAGGGAAAAAGACGGCGAAAATGCAAACATCGATATTACTACCATCGAATCCTCTATGAAACTTTAAAAAATAACTTTCCTGGCTTCCGAATCATCGATATCCACCATGATTTCATGCCACCCTCTATCTTTTCGCTATTGAAAATCATAAAAAGTTTAGACGAATTAGACAGAAATTGGAATAAATTAATACGTCACTCACTTCGAATCCATGAATCGGCAATGCGTCAAAGAATTCATGAGCAACAATGATGGACCATATCCCTGTGATTTTACGTTTAGAAAGTTATTAAGCAAGTTTCCTCAGTTTGCCCTTTCTTTTCTTTTCCCTTTTTTTTTTTGTGGCTTCAACAGTACCCGAAATCTCTTCAAACGAGTTGTGCCAAACGAATTTCAATCCGTCCTTCTCCCGAAAAGCAATTTCGCCATCATCGGTGCATTTACTTTCCGCATTTCCGCACAATTTTAGCCTTTGAATCCTGCGCATTCCCGGGCTCACTTCTACAAGGTGAACACCGTCAATTGCTCTAAAGCATTCTTTAAAACTTGACAGTGCCTTTTTTTTGTTTCAAGTAGACAAATTTATGATCGACGTATGGCACTGCAGCGTCGCAAGAACATGGGAAGAAGGACTCACGCGAAGCATGTCATCAAGTAATGTTCCTCTTCCCGGTCCCAGCTCTACGATTTGGATCTTCCCGGGTTTTTCTTGACTCATCCATTGAGTCAAGAACCAGATTCCAATCAGCTGATGATGGATGGTGTTTCAATTTAGGCGTCGCAAAACTCCAATGTTATCAATAAAATCGAAAGAACAAACGAAGGAAGGAAAGTTCACCTCACCAAACATCTGAGGCTTTCAAAACCGTAGTTTTGAATTTATATCTTCATCATTGAAAGTTGAAATGGATAGTGGA